CCTGGCTGGAAGGGGCTTGGTTCCTGGCAGGAGGAGGCCGCCCGTGTGGAGACCGGCAGAGGGGCAAGCCCGGGCCTGCCCAGGGCCCCTGAAGGCCCAACTTCCTGATTCCCAGCCCTGGCACAAAGCGGGTCTCTGCCCTTCACCTCCTAGGAAAGCCTTCTGGAACCTTCTTGGTTCTCTCTCCACTTCCGGCTTCCTGCCCACCCTCCCTCTTGTCTTTCCTTCCCATTCACCCATAAAGTTTGCAGCTTACTCAGGTCCCTTCTGAACACATGTGTTACACCGATGCTCCGTCGTGCCCGTTTGTGGGCCTTCGTGTACGCTCACGCACCCGGATGATTAATTGAACGTTGTATGTTTTTATCAAAGGAAACAATGCAAAGATTTCTCCATGTTTGACTAAAGATGATTAATTTTAATTTTCACATGAGCGGCATAATGCTATTAATCATTTAATATGTTTAATCATAATCTCTGTAATTCCTAATTAGGTTTATTAAACTGAAACATCCAACAGCTCTGCACAAATCCTCCTCCTCGCCCCCTTCTTGGGGTGAGGAGGAGCTTGTCTGTTTGGGTTCCAACGATCACTCGGAACCGTCAAAGGGTGGGGGTCCGGGCCAATGGCGTGGGGCCTCTCGGTCCTTAGAGTCCCTGTATTCCAGGATGGGGGTCCTGACCTCTGGATTCCTAGGCAGCTCCCCCTCGTGCCCAGGCCCCTGACCTCCTGGGCCCCAGAGGAAGTTCAGACCCTGCTCTGCTGACTCACCATCTCCTGTGCGCCGTCTCTGAACAGCCATGGGTCTGGAGGTGAAGTTCTATGTTCAGGAAGTGGCTTTTGCTCCACTGCCATAGTCAGCCTGGGATGGAGTCCCCCACCTTTTAGCAGTGACTGTGCTGTCCTTTGTCCCTGAGACCTGGACTGCGGTCAGGGGGCTCCCCTGTGTCCTCTCCCTGCCGTGCCAACCCAGGGCGGGTCCTCCACTCTCCTGGGGGCTGGCCCTCCTAGGCTGCAGACCCTTTGCACCTAGCACTTGGGACCAGCCCCCGCCCCCCACCAGGGAGACCCAGTGTTGGTTATCGATCGAGTACTCTGTCAGAGGTGTAGAGATAAGCCAGGCGTGTCAAACGTTGGACAGTGGAGGGCGAAGGCTCACTTAGCACTGACTGGCTTTTGCAGCCCCTTTTTATTGGGTTGACGATCAAAACATCCAGCATACCTCAGAGTCCGTAAGATCAAAATACAGAAGATCAAAACACCTTAAAGTACATATTATTTTGTAGCCTAATGATGCACACACGGCAGAGCCTGGCAAGCTCCCCGTGATGTATTCGATATGCCAAACACAGTAACAAGAAGTCTCACGATGGAGACGTTACTGGGCCCGCTCGAGCAAATCGATGAACAACGGGAGGACCGTGACCGTGAATGATGCACACAAAGTTCCTGATGAAATATATCAGACCACCTTGTAAATCTTTACATCCCACTTCCCTTAAGTTCCACATCAACATCTATGCAAGCCCACACAATAGCCCGGTAAGGTATTTGTTTAACTTTCATCCACTCATAGCACAGTTCACCTATAACAGAAGGCGACTGCATCGGGACATGCTGACCCCAGCCCAGCTCACTCAGAGTTCCTAGCAGTTTGCAGCTACGGCATGGCCTTGTTTGCAAGGCAGCGTTCCTGGAAATTCCTCATGACTCTGGTCAGGCTCCAACACCCCAGGTTCCTCCACCAAACTTCCAGGAGATCACGGCTTGTAACTGATTGAATCTGTGATCTAGTAGATGCTATGATCATATCACTTGTATCACTTGTATCACTTGTCATCCTGTTTCTCATCGATTTGCTCGAGCGGGCACCAGTAATGTCTCCATATGACTTAATCACTGTCACTGTCACTGTCCTCCCATTGTACATTGATTTGCTCGAGCGGGCCCAGTAACATCTCCATTGTGACACTTGTTACTGTGTTTGGCATATCGAATACATCACGGGGAGCTTGCCAGGCTTTGCCGTGCAGGCGCGATACTCTCGGTACCTTGCCGGGCTCTCTGAGAGGGGTGGAGGAATCGAACTCGGGTCAGCCATGTTGGCTGCGTGCAAGGCCAACGCCCGACCCGTTGTGCTATTGCTCCAGCCCATATGATCTAATAAATTGAATAATTTATTAAGCATACTGGCACACTCACCAGCCCTTTGCCCACACAGCCAGCCCTGAGAGAGGCTGTTGTCTGCCCTGGCTCCAGCACTGGGCATAGGGCCCCTTCCCAGGGCCAGTCGGTGGCTTTGCGGAGGGCATGTACACAAGTGCTTTGTCCAACAGACACGGGCCTTCACGGGGTTCACCTACTCCAGCCTTTCCCCCAGATCCCCCCTTACAGCAGCTTTTCCCCTCCTCCTTCATACAGATACTGAGGTTCTGACACACACCCCTGAACCTAGGACGTTCTTCCACAACTCAGCATCTCCGTGCCTGCTCGCTCCTCTGCTCTCTGGACACCTGCATCCCCCCCGTTAGCTATGGCCACTTCCAACCTGACCTCCATAATAGGCTGACACCCGCCCCCCGCCCCAGCCATGCCAGGAGCCACCTGCCGCCCCCATCCTCAACCCCTTCCTAACCAGGGTACCCCCAGCACTGGTCAGTCTTCCCTTCCACCTACACTGGGTCCATCTGTGACTTGGAGAATGAATCTCCATGTCCAGGAAATGGCCATCACTCCCAGAGCGTTTCATGAGCCGTTCTGAGACCCTTCCTCTGTCTCCCGAATGAGGCTGTTTTTTTTCCCCTCTCTTCTGACCGTGAAAACAAAAATGAACAAACGACCATTCCCAGCTGCTTGCTGTGTGCCCAGAGCTCAGCCAGGCTGGCCTGGACCGTGGAGATGCCTCTTCACGGAGCCATCCTGGGCGCGTGCTGTTCTGACGGTTTCTTTTCCAGATTATGGAACTCTGAGCTTCTCCTTTTCTAGCTGCTGGGCAGAGTTAGACACTGGGGCTCCGTGGAAGAACTCCGTAGAAGTAGGGACGGGGTCTCCGTGAAAGAACTCTTCAGAAGCAGGAACGAGTGAACCAAGAGTTTGCAGTTGAGAGATTAAATAATGCCCACCAGGTAGTGCTCGGCATTGCAGATGACTGAGGAGGGTGATGTGATGGCCAATGCAATGAGTCAAAAATGCAACTCACAGGGTCCGAGGAAGCAGAGTGAAGGAGAGCTCCCGAGACACCCTGTGCTGGTGCTGAGGACGTGTCTCTGCCTTGACTCCGTGTTCTCTCTCCTCGTCCTTCTGGAGTTGTGGGGTTGTCTCCTGGTGTCCTGTTTTACACCCGGCTACCTACATTAATCATTTCATTCAAGTTCTGTTCTTTTAAACTGCTTATAAGTAGATGAGGACAACTCCTATCTCAAGTAGGAATCCACGCCTGGGTGTGCAGTCCTGCCATTGTCGAAATGCGGGTACCTGAGGCCTGAGAGATGCTACAGCAGGGAGGGCGCTTGCTTTGAGTGCCGGCACCCTAGGTTCCATCCCTGGTACCTTGTATGGTCCCCTGAGCACTGCTAGGAGTGAGGCCTGAGTGCAGTGGCAGGAGGAAGCACTGAGCTCTGCTGGGTGTGGCCCACCCCAAAATAAACCCCCTCCCAAAAAACAGGTATCAGATGTCAATGGCTTCGCCTGGAGGTAATGGATGCTACTTGCAGGGAAAGTGTGGGTGTTCTCTGGAATGAACTTCAGAGCTGACGTACAGTTCCGACATCCATCCATGGGTCAATGTGATCTCAAGATCACGTTCCTATTGGGGAAGGGGCAAGTTCCGCTAGGAAGGCAGCATGCTTCCCCCCCCCCCCCCACCCCGTGGTCCGACAGACAGAACTTCTGGGTTCCAATGGAGATGTTCTGTGTATAGGAAGCCACCGGCTGCATCAGACGCTCAGGCGGTTAAAATGGCTCAGTTCTTGACAATGCAGAACTGAATTGCACGTTTTATTTCATTTCGACTCACTTCAACTTTCATTGCCATCAGGTATCAGCCCGATTGAACAGTACAAGGTCGGTGTGGTCAAGAAGCGAACAGTTAAACCATATATATATATATACATATATATATATAATGCCAATCACATGGCTCTTTGAGCTGCAGAATAACAAACAGCCTTTCTCAAATGTGCTGCCCTAGCGCCCACCATCAGAGTCACCTGCACGATCACGTAGGCAGATGGATTTGGAGCACTCTCAATTAAAGGTGCACTCTCTCCTACATTTAAGGAGCCTCAACCCCGCTCAGTGAGGAGTTGTCTCATTACCTGTTAACACCCCCCAACACACACACACAGATAAACACATGTATACCCTAGAATATAGAGCTGTTCCTACTTTGCATTATCTTTCCCACAGTTTTTCCTGGAGCTCCTCCATCCCTCTTGGAGAGCCCGGCAAGCTACCAAGAGTATCCCGCCTGCACAACAGAGCCTAGCAAGCTCCCCGTGGCATATTTAATATGCCAAAAAACAGTAACAATGACAGGTCTCATTCACCTGACTCTGAAAGAGCCTCTGATATGGCAGCATTGGGAAGGACGAGTAAGGAGAGGTTGCTAAAATCTCAGGGCTGGGATGAATGGAGACATTACTGGTGCCCGCTCGAGTAAATCTATGAACAATGGGATGACAGTGATACAGTGTGCTAATAAGCAGCTTCTTTTAGCTCTGGGGGTCCCTCTCTGCCTCGCTCTGAACCATGTTCCATGAAGACCTGGAGTGGCCCCAGTTGAGCTCAACATAGAATCCCAAATCCATCATCTAAGCTCAGAGGATATCCCCTAAGTGCTTGTTGAATGAATGAATAAATGAATGAGTTGAGTGAATGAACAAATCCACAACGCTCTCCTTCCTCCCAAATCCTGCCCCTTCCTAGCCATCTGGGGGAGGGAAACACCCTCTGGACAAAGAGCCCCGAACCACTCAGCCTCTTTGCTCTCCCCCGTTAGCAGACAGACGACGCAGCACCGACGGATGGCCAGCCCCAGACACAACCTTCTGAAACCTTGGAGAACAAGTCCCAGCCCAAGCGGCTGCACGTCTCTAACATCCCCTTCCGGTTCCGGGACCCGGACCTCCGGCAAATGTTCGGCGTAAGTAGCCCTGCGCGCGTGCTCTACCTGGGCAGCACCCACCCCACGGTCCCTGAGTCCTCCCCTGCCCGCGTAAGTTCTGGGCACTTACGATGCCAAGGTGAGATGCCTCCGGGGCTGCTGGTGGGGTGGGGGCAGCTTAGTGCTCGTGTCCACCGAATTTCCCTGTTACCGAGTGATCTGTCGAGTTACTCGGAGAGGCCCCTGGTGAGCCCACTCTCAGATCATGCTGTGTGGCCAGGGACCCCCGTCGAGTGACCCAGGGTATGGCAACAGCAAGGCATCTGAGTCATCGTGTCTCTTGGTTTCCCTGGCATTAGCCAGTGCTCAGGGGCGGGGTGCCCAGGCTCCCCTCTCAGACCTGACGCTTTCTCCGGCTCTGTTTGCATGGCTCAGAGGTGCTCATGAACCCTTCTAGGGAGGAGGTTCCCCATAGGGTGCCTTCTGTTGGGGCGGCCCACCTTTCTTTGGGGAATCTGTGAGGCAGGTTCAGAGGTGGGTCTCTGCCCAAACTGCTGGCCCAGTGCCCGGGCATCTGGGAAAAGGCAGACGCAGGGAGAGCCGAGCCCTGGTGCTTTGTCCAACCACCCTGCACCTTCCACCTTGGGAAGGGATGAGTTTGCCCTTTCTCTGGGCTCAGTTCCACAGAAGGACGAAACCGTGACAGGACCAGACATCATTCATTTTATTTTTTTTTTTCCCCCAACGCCTCCCAGCCCCTGGGAGTATCTGCCAGAGGGATGGAAAGAACAACAACCTGAATGTTTGACTTAGAGGGAAGGGCAACTGGCTAGCGCTGCTACTCCTAAAAGTTTGTGGATGGATGTGAAGGGCAGCTTGGTGGAGAGTGCTAGTTCCAGGTGATACTGATCCCGTGCTGCCCCCATCACCACCACACCCACATCATGGAAAGGAATTTGGGTCCATGGCTCCGTGGCAGTAGTGCAGGGCTTGCTTCCACCTTTGGCTCCTCATGCATGATTTTATCAAGTGCACATTTGACCAAGCACATCCTATTCATAGAGAGCTGGTGTTTTCCAGCACATGGTTTAGGGGCTAAGGGGGGCCCTTGAGAAAATGCCGGATCCTGGTGTGAGTGACACGCAGCCAGAGGAACTCCATTCCTTGGCCTCTTCTGCTCAGGAGTTCGTCCACTTGCTTTTTACTCTCGTCTTTCTTCATCAGGTGTCGCCTTGACTTGGGGTCGACTCTTTCCTTAATCCGGGGTTCTACTAGGGTGTCATTTCTCCCAACTCACTCTAAGCCCTACCTTCCTCTGGGCCTGCTTTTCCCTTCTGAGTTCCCTTGAAAGCTGGGGAGGGGCATGCTGTTACATCAGACCCAAATGTGAATCATCTCAGCATGCTCGCCACAGGAGAGGACCCCACTGCCATCCTAAGAAAGGGGCCTCTCTTTTCTTTCAGGGACCGGGGCGGCAAACGCTTGCCAACAGCTCATCCTCGAGCTGTCAAACCTTCACCCAAACCCACTGGTTGCAGAGCCACCGAAAACGTCAAAATCTTCAAGTAACTGACATGATGTCAGATTGACAAAACCAGGGCATTGGGGGCAATGTAGCTGTGCAGAACTTAGAGTAACTTCCTTCATCACCAATAGCATCTTTGTGTGTCTGGTTTAGTTCAGTTTTGTTTTTTTTTTTAGAGTGCAAGATTTCCACAAGTGACTCTTTGTCTCTAATAGACAAAATGATCAGAGATATGGATTGGGATTCGTGGTACTCAGACCACATCTCCTTGGTTTCACAAACCCATGGTGAGGACATTTGGACACTCAGAATCTTATCTTCCTGGGCACACCTGGGTGGCACCCAGTCCTGTAGGTTATAGGACATACTCAGAGCATGCCCTGTTCACATCTTGCGCTAGCTCTCTGCTCTCCACTGGGGAAAATTTAGCCTGCTCTCTCTCCTCAAGCCCTAGTTTCTATTAGCAAACACTCCCCAACTCTCACCCCAACTTGGACTTTTTAAAATTTCTTAAATTTCTGGTGGCTGCTTTAGAAAAAGGTCTTCAACCATTGTGTCAAACTTCTCCAAATGGGGGCTGTAGAAATAGCACAGTGGGTAGGGCACATGCCTTGCATGCCCTGGGTTCCATCCCTGGTTTATCCCATCTGGTTCCCGGAGCCTGGCCAGGAGTGATCTCCAAGCACTGAGCCAGGAGTCATCCCTGAGCAGCACAGAGTGGTGTTCCCCAAGCAAATAAAAACAAAACCACCCTCGGCTCTCACGTTTTCTGCTGTTATCCTTTGGACGGTTTCTGCAGTTTCCCAGGGACAGGTGTTTGTTCCACAGGGTGTCTGGGTCCTGCCTGCCTGTCTGTCTGTCTGGAGCCGTGCCTTCCTGTGCCTGACTTTTGTTCCTGCCTGGGCACCTCGGGGACCCCTTGCCTGGATCCCCGTGGCAGGCAGCTGAACATGGGTGTTGAGCAAACACACGCGAGTTATGTCTGCGAATGAGTCGTGTCTATTTAAGTTGAAAATGGGCCAGCTGTGTTTACATCATTAGAACCCAACTTCCCAATTAAACTGTTGATACTATAAATATAGTACGAGACTGTCTTTGGAACGGGCTTACATCAGCATTCTTCTTCCAGCTTGTTTCCGAGGCTCCGAGCGGCCTCCACCTCGGAGAAACCCAAGACAGACTCAGGCGTTAGAGCAAATCCAGGACACAGGTGTTGAGTTACATGGAGCAAAGGCCCAGGCTAAGTCAGCTTTCTGGTGGGTCTGTCTCTTTAGCTGATATGATTGGATTAAGGTTTTGGGTATTTTTTTTTTTTTTGGTTGTTGTTGTTTGGTTTTGGAATCACACTAATTGTGTTCAGGGTATGCTCCTAGTTCTTTACTCAGGGATCACTCCTGGTGGTGTTCCAGGGACCATGTGGGATGCCAGGTCCAGCCCGGGTCCACTGCATGCAAGGCCGGCGCTGCATATACACCGTAACTGTACTGTCCCTCTAGCTCCTAACTTCCTCTTGCTGGGGGCATGGTGTACATGTGCTGGCGCCTTAGAGGGGAGCTCTGGGCCTTCTCTTGTCTTCCTGTTTCTGCCCAAAGTTCTTTTCAACTTTCTCTCTCCCTCATCAAGTAAGCTTCCAGGCTCCCAGGCCGGAAATAAACACGGTAACATCTGTGTGGATAGGATGCTCCGGGGACGTTGAATTGAAGCGACTGCTTCTGAGACCGCCCTAGAACTGCAGGTGGTTTGTCCCCTTTCTTAAGCGAGGACATTTATCTCACCTTTCAGCTGAAAATCCTTCATTTCCCTCAGTCGAAAAGTGTTCCCTCTTCCGTGTTTTGTGATTTCTCCCTGCCCCCATCTGGGGCCTTGAAAGACCTTGGAACAGTGGATCATCATCCCCTGGAAGCCCTGGGAGTGGAGAGTGCGGGACATTAGCCACACATCTCGGCAGAGGCCTCCTTCCTCCTTTCCCTCCCGCACTCATGAAGGCAATTCGAGGGTGTCACCCAACGGCTGGCCAAGCCGAGGGGTGCGGGAAGGCCTAGGCCTTGGCGTGGGGTTCTGGCAACACCTCCTCCATCTCCCCGGGCTCTGAGCTGTGAATGTGCGGCAGGATGAGACTCCATTTCCTCTGTCTTTCCCAGGAAGAGGGATTTCTTTCACACGTTCTGGAGGGGAGCTTCTGTGTGATCCAAAAACTTCTTTTCTTTTTCTTGGTTTTTGGGGCCATACCCAGCAGTGCTTAGTGCTTACTCCAGGCTCTGGGCTCAGGGGTCACTCCTAGAGGATTCAGGGTACCATCCAACCTGCTTGTAGGACAAGCCCCAGACCCACCGTATGAACATTCCAGCTGCATCTTTTCTTTCTCCTTTTTTTCAATCTTCTTAGCAGGTCTCAGAGATCTGGGACCCCCACTTGGCCCCTCAATGTCTGACGGTTTGGTTACTCAGGCCCAACTGTGCTAGGGTGCTGGACACTACCAGGATCTCACCTGGCAGGTTCTGGGGCAGCCCCACAGCACCAGGGATCCACCTTGGGGCCTTGATCACGCCGTCCCTGCACTCCGGTCCTTGAGACAATCTCCCCGTCAATCTTAGCAGGGTCCTCTAGGCCTTGCCTTGCAAGCCACCCTCCATCTCTTTGTTCTCGTTCTTCGTTCCTTTTCCTGCCAGTCCCTCTGCCCTGTACAGAGTCTGGTTCATGCTCTCTATTCGGGGAACAGACCCAGAGTGAAGAATGTTCCGGGGGAGTGAAGGGTGTGCAGTCGAACTCCCAGCTGCCTGTGGCAAGGGCCAGAGGAAGGAACCACAGCACGGAAATGCTCCTTCAGATTCTATTTAATTTATTTTCCCCATTTCTTAAATCAAGTCTGTGCCCTCTCGCTGGACATTGGGGTGACCTGTCCACCTTAGTGCCCCGTCTCTCACCTGCCAGGTTGGACAGCAGACCCACCCTCAAACCAGCCCCCCTCCAATCCTCATGATGGAAGGCTACTGCAAGAGGGCCAGCCCCAGGGAAGGAATTGGGGGGTATCAGCTGCTCCCGGCTTCCGGGGTCAAGAGGAAATCAAGGGGGGATGTCCATGCCTTATGGGCACTAGATTTCCCGCCAGGGTTAGCCAATTAAAATAACAACAAGGGCTGAAACAAAAGTGCAGCCGGTCAGGGGCTGGCCTTGCTCACAGCACACCCAGGTTAATCCTGGCACCCCACAGGGTCCCCCAAGCCCCACCAGGAGTGACCCCTGCGTGCAGAGTCAGGAGTAAGCCCTCATTACTGCTGGGCGTGACGTACCTTCCCCCCACCCCATAGCAAAACAGCAACAACATAATACATCGTCGCGGAATTTCAGTTTTGGTAATAGACATTCCGGGCTAGTCTAGTTATGGCCCAGGGGCCAGAAAGATTCCGAAGGACCCAAAACAGAAATGACCAAGCTGTGTCAGTGCTTTGCTGCTATTTTGTCAGGACACCTGGATTCTTTGTCACCTGAAACTTGTTTCTCAGTGTGAAGGTGTGGATTACCCCCACCCCCATTTTTTTTGAATTTGCCTACCTTCCAGGCACCCAGCGCTTCTGACTGGGAGAAGGAAATTGTTTTGGTGTTGGGACTCACTCACTCACATTCACTTGGGACGTCATCTTCAGCCTCATAGCCTGGTTGGATGTTTTATGACACAGATCCCCTTCTCCCAGGAGTTCCTCCTGTTCACTAATGGTTCTGCAAGGACGTGGGTCGGGCTAGGGCACTTCTCACCTTTGCAATCCAGAGCCTGGGAAAGCAGGTTTGATGTCTTGCCGAACTATTGCCTACCCGGGCCGCCTGGGCTAATCACTCGAAGGGGTTTGCCGTATGGACAGAGGAGCCCGCTGGGTTACTGGGCTCAAGTCCCTCCTTCCATGATGCGAACACACTGTAACTTGTCGATCCTTGATACTCAAAACACCAGCACTGTCTCGGGGATCAGTTTCCCCTCCCTACCCCCCCCCACCCCATTCCCCAGCCATCAGGTGATTTGCTCTGCTTGTCTTCACGCTTATAAAATATTTCTGTTTCTTTGCAGCAATTTGGTAAAATCTTAGATGTTGAAATTATTTTTAATGAGCGAGGCTCAAAGGTAAGCAACTTAATTCACTTTGGAACTGTTATGTGAACGCTTTTGTTAGAATCCTGGGGAGCAACTGTACTGTTTTAATCAGCGTCCCGGTTGCCAGTCCTGAAGGGGGGGAAGGTCCTTTGGAGGCCTCCTCCCGCTTCTAAAACGGTGGGCAAGGCATCGGGCTCTGTTTCAAACGTCTCAGGGGGTCCTTTGGAATTGCTGTTTTATATCTATCTCTAGTTACCTAGATAGCAGGTCCCGAGAAGAAAATTACCCATGCTTAAAAAAAAAAAGAGAGAAAAGAAAAGAAATAATGTTGCTACATTTTGTTTTTCAGTGATAATTATGTTCTTTATATTAAAAACTGAGTTTCTAGTCTCATGAGCAGGTAAATATATGGTTACTCTGTATTAATAAAGCACAGTTCTCTTCCTGGGGTGCAGGGAGAGACTGTCCTATACGCCAACCCTTCGACTATAATTGCATTCATTAGCCTGTTTACCAATACACCGTTTGTGATTTGCCATTGCTTTGAGGTTTCGTTTTCTCTAAGAAGCCATTTTTTTTTGAGATTACATTTTTTTGAGCACTCACAGCGCCCGTGAAAACTGGGGAGTTTCAGTGAGTCACTCCAGCACCATCAAAATGCAGTTTTTTTGTTGTTGTTGAGGGGGGTGGGAGAAAAAAATTGGCCCCAAACATCCTCTCTCTAATCTCCCACATCCCCGAGGATCTTAGCAGAGACGTGGATCCTTGGCGTCCAGGGCTGGAAGGAGATACTCAGAAATCGGACCCCAAGGTCTTCGCCTGCTTCAGCAAAATTTGCAGGACTTTCCTTCAAATGCCCCAAAATGCATCTCCCCATTTTAGACAACTGCTAAATCTTCCTTGGAATGGGGAGTATCCCTTTAAGCAGCCTCTTTGCACCACCCCCAGAAAATAAATCCAGACCCCCCTGCAGAATCTCCATTTCTCCCCCATTCTCCCCCCCCCACCACACACACACACACACACACACACACATACACACACACACAGGGTCTGTGCACTGGGGCAGATTTGAAGACGCTGAAGGCTCGTGGGTGAAGAACTGAAGTGTTAACTGCAAAACACAAAGAAGGAGAAGCCTTGAATGAAAAACCACCTTCTCCTCCCAGGGTCGCCCCTGCTGGGGGGCTGGAAACATTACCTCTTTTCCCCTTGCATCCTGCCCTGAACCTCGAAAGTGGCTCTTGCCCAAAAATCGCTTCCAGCTCCCGGCTCCTGCTTTTAGCTCCCCGCTTCCCTTCAGCAGGCAATTCAGGACAAGCTGGCAGCTGAGGATCACGGAGGACTGGTTTTTCTGGAAGTGGCAAGCGCCAGCTGTGAGCCGCCCAGCCCCCTCCCCTGCAAGCCCACACAGAATCGATTACCCTTTGGGGAATCTGTAACCTCCTCCTCCTCCTCTCTCCGGTCTGCAGTGAACAGGAGGCTGCCTGGGGGATGGAGGGAAGAAACGTCCCTGTCTCCCCGTCTCTCCATCTCCCTATCTCTCCGTCTCCCCGTCTCTCCGTCTCTCCCTCTCCCCGTCTCCTCGTCTTCCCTTTTCTCTTTCCCTTTTCTCAAAGATGAGTAAGAAAAACAAAAAAACAAAAAATGATGAATCCATTCTATTGTCTGAGTCTGCCAATTCAAGGTCTTGGGGTTTTCCGCTAAGCAGTGAACTCTGCTTGGGTTATGAAATAAACATTGCAGAACCTTTTTCCCTTTTTAAACATTTTTATGGGGGTCCTTCCCAGCAGGACCTCAGAGAACCCGGGTCTACAACCTGTGATGCACAGGCAATGAAGGGGGCCTTTTCTCAGACCGGGATTGTCTTGGGGCCCCCTGGATCACACCTTAGTGTCTGATGGGTCCTGTGATATGGGGATTTGAACTCAGTGTCTGCTTTGGGCGCTGAACTACCTCTTGGGTCCTGGAGGGACAGGAACCTTCCCAGCAGGGGCGAGCGCTTTCAGAGCAAGAGGCACCAGCTCCTCCCGTGCCCCCTGAGCCAGAATGACAAATGATAGCCCAGAACGTCGCTTCCCAACTTCCTTCTAAGTCAGCATCTTGGGGCTCCTGCCTTTCCTAGTGCTAGCTTGGCTTTGGGGCTTGGGGTTGGTTTTGCTTTGGTTTGGTGGGTTTTGGTTTTGGTTTTAGGTTTTTTTTTTTGGTATGGTGGTTTTTGGTTTTTTGATTCCTTCTATTTGTTGTATAACTTTAGCTGCCAGGAGAACACCACCTAATTCCCTTCAAGAGCCGTTTTGGGGGACATTAGGAGGATATCTCTTGCTATTCCCAAAGCAGAATGGACGGGCTATTTTTAACGCTTCTTCCGTCATGCCCGTGATTAGCGCCTCTCTGGGGCTTTGGGGTCCAGACCCAGAGGCTCTGCCGCAGCCGGGACTGACTTTAGCAGAAGTCGCATCTGTCCCTTCTCTTGGCTCTGGGATGCTTGTGTTTTGATTGTTTGCTTGGAGAACATCCAGAAATTGCCAGCCTGTAGGTGGATGGCTGTTAGTTGCCCTGGAAACTTCTAGACCTGTAGGAAGCACCAAATGGAATAGTGCCCCCCCCCCCCGCCCACGTCCACCCCCTCAGCCCCGCCCCCGTGCCACTCCCGCAGCCTCATTTCTGAGAAGGAACTTTGTTCGAAGGGACATTTCTCCCATTGTAAGCTGGACAGGCTCCAGCCCAGGCCCTGAGCTCAGGCCTGTCCTTGGGCATTGAAGAAGCATCCAGCCACCCAGAGAGCAAAGAACTCTCCCTCTATCTGGAGTGGCCACTCCGGATGGATGCTGGTCAGAGCTGGGCAGCATCCTACTTGGTCATTTCAGTTTGATAATCCAATGCCCCAAGACTTGTTGTCATTGAGACTGTCTCGTCCCAGGTCTTAGTTCTCTGCAGAACATGGATGAGTGAGGGGATGAGAATCCACCCTTCCCCTGATTTCTTTTACTTTGCATGATGCCCCCAGCTCCTGGGAAACTTCCTCCTTTTGTCCAGGGCCCGGCACTCTCTGGGGAGGGTCTGCACCGTCATTATTTCTTTGTGGGTGGTTTCCCTACCCTGGTGGCAGACTTAGGGTTGCCAGGAGTAGAGGTGCAGCCCGTCTTTCCAGCCTGTGAGAACGCTTTCTACAGCAGAGCCGTTCCTTTTTGAGCCTGGAGGAACTGGAGTATCACACACACACACACACACACACACACACACACACACACACAAAATCAGCCCCTTCAGCCAGTCAGCATGCTTTAAAGTTTTTCTTGGGGGCATTGGGGGTGGGGTGGGGAGAGAATAGATATAAAATGTTGTATTTTCATTAATACAAAACAAACCCCAACAGCGCTCACCTAAAAACATATAATACATAAATAAAAAGAAAAAATATGCAAAAAACACCTTTCCCCTCCCCTCCCTTCCCCTCCACACCCCTCCCCTCCCCTTCCCTCCCTTCTCCTTCTCTCCTCTCTCTCCTCTCTTCCCTTCCCCTCCCTTCCCTTCCCTTCCCTTCCCTTCCCTTCCCTTCCCTTCCCTTCCCTTCCCTTCCCTTCCCTTCCCTTCCCTTTTTTCCCCTTTCTTTGGTGTTTGGGTCAAAGCTGGCTGTGCTCAGGCCTTACTCCTGACTCTGTGCTTGGGACTCAGCAGGCAGTGCTCAGGGGAACCTCCGTGGTTCTAGGAAAAGAACCAGAGTCATCCACACGCAAGGGCTCTGCCTTACCACTAAGCACCTCTCCAGACCCCGGGGCATTGTTTCTGAGCCCAAACTTGGCAAACCTCAACAAGTGATCCCACTAACTTGAAGTTCAAAATGTTAAACACTGCCATGGGGGAGGTAAGAGAGAGAGAGAGAGAGAGAGAGAGAGAGAGAGAGAGAGAGAGAGAGCAGAAAATAACAAGCGTTAGCCTAGAAATGAAAAGCATCGATGAGTGACCTCTGCTGATAGGCAGAGTGTGAACAGCGTTTGTTTAGGAGCTTTCCTTGGGATTTAAACTGTCTCTTGTTGCTCCCCTACATTCATAGGCTGCTTGGAGATGGGGTGGCACAAAGATAATATTCTTGGGGACACACTTAGATGATCAGTTCCAGTGCCCCCCACCACCAGTTCCCTCTTTGGTGGCATGGGAGCAACTGCTGGCAGGGGACAGCTGCCCCCATGCTCCCGCCTGACTCTGCCATGGGGTTTCTTGTCTTGACTCTGGAGAAAATTGAGTCCAGTAGAACCACAGCCACCATCCCCTGTGTGATCGGCAGGACCATGCCTGCCAACCCAGATTCCGAGGTGAACAGATGAGGACCTAGACCAGATCCCTAGATCTCCAAGATCCCAGTAACAGCCAGGGAGATGCCCCCACATCAGGAAGCTTACTTGGTGCACACCCTGCGTTCTAGAAGCTATCCATAAACTAGACCATCTCCAGCATCCAGAACCTTCCTTTCACTATGCTCAGTGGGCTGGGAGAAGCCGGGGGTCCTGAGATCCTAGCTCAGATGGGGGCTGGCCGACAAGAAGGTTTCCGGGCTCTGTTCTGGGATCAAACCGAGGGGGTCTAGTGCTATGAGCTCAGGGGTGGACTTAGGTGGTCACCCAATTGCCCCGTTCTCTCTGATGGGCACCTACTTAGGACATGCACACGCGGGTCCAGAGGCAAAGCTGACAGCTGAGCAGACATCCTGCACTCTGGCTTTCACCCTCAGAAGTGCATTTATTTCCAAGCCACATGGGTCCCTGGCGTGGTGTTCTTGCGGGGTAGGGTCCTTCTGCAAAGGCTGCCTCAAAACTCACACACTTGGGGCTGGAGCGATAGCACAGCAGGGAGGGTATTTGCCTTGCACACAGCCAATCCGGGTTCGATCCCGGCATCCCATATGTTCCGCTGAGCACCGCCAGGAGAAATTCCTGAGTGCAGAGCCAGGACTAACCCCTGTGCATGGCTGGGTGTGACCCAAAAAGTAAAAAAAAAAAAAAAGAAACAAAACTCATACTCATGTAATCTGCACATCACCCACTCAAAATTCTTCCCTCGGAGACACTCCCAAGGGTCACCCTGGCCAAGTGCAGCAGAAAGACCTTTATTCTTGTTTTTTTGCGAGAATCCTATCAAATTATCATCTCTCCTAGCTGGAGTCGTTGCACCGTGGGCTGCGTTGTGGATGCCATTGGCCTGCAGAGATCCCACACTCTGGCCCTGGGTGGTGGTTTGGGTGTGTGGCTGGACACCTGTTGGTCCCCACAGTCCACCCGGGGTGTGATACTTTCAAGCCACTGCCCCCCATTACACTTCCCCTAAAGTCCCTGGTTCCCGAGAGGCATGTCCACCTCACCCCGGGTCCACAATTCATCAGCACAGCGAAAACCCAGGCACATGGCAAACGTGCAACTCAGTTGGTCCAAAGGGTTGGCGTACGTTCCCGAACACTGGACAAATAGTTTTAGGGCCTTAAAAAATAATGTGTTCTGTGCTCTTATCAACAATGGTTTCCATGGAATAAATAAAAGATAATTTGACAGTGTCACATTGAGCGGGGTTGTTTGTTACTGGTTAATACAGATTCTGTTAGTGGGGGGAGGGGCTTCTTTGTCCTCCGATCTCAGAGAAAGGCGAAATGGGCGGCTTGTTCTCATCATTGATGTTCTAGAACATTCTGTGGATGACGCTTCTGGCGTGCCCACCTGTTGATAGAAATATGGATGCTTTGAGTCTGACCCTCCACTCCCCCATTTCGCTTTTCACTGTAGGAGGTAGTTGGGGAACTGAAAGAGAATGTCTGGTCTTGGTGGGCGGGTTCCTACATCATTTATGACTATGGACAAAAGAGCATTATTTGAACTGTTTGCATTATTAATCAACTGATATTTGTTTCTGTTCATTTCATATGATTCTTTTGTTTACTAGATCCAAGAGTTTCAGATTTATTATCAAAAGATTTTTTTTCTTTTTTTTCCTTTTTTTTTTTTTTAGATTTCTAATTTTTGTTTTTAAGAAGTAAAGGCTATAGAATCGACCAATTTGAATAACCATAAACTTGCATGGGGAAGAGATGTTCTTAAAACCACACGGCATGACATTGTAGGTGGTGTTAGAAGATTGGGCATTCATTGTTGAATTTCCTGCACACGGTTTATTTTATCTTTTTCTTAATTTGCATGTCCAGAAAGTGGTTCCCTTTTTTTTTTCCCTCTCATTATTTCATTTTATTCTCTGTGAAGACACTGTACGTTTATTTTGATCTCATTTTCTTTCTGTTCGATTTATTTTCTTCTGTAGTGACATTTAGAAATGTATTTTTGGTATCGTCCTTTGAATTCTTCTGGGGTTACAGCTAACTGGTGACAGGGGAAAAAAAGAATCTTGTTCACGTTTGTCGCTTACTGATTGCACATTTGAGTACTCTTATAATTTCTCTAATTTGCATGTTACAGAACCGAAGCCAGGACAAGACATAGAAATTAAAGCAAGAGAACGTTACCCAGTGGTCGTGGACTGAAATAATAATCTGCATGTTATTTTCCCTTCTCCCTCCTGCATGCAGGGATTTGGTTTCGTAACTTTCGAAAATAGTGCGGATGCGGACAGGGCGAGGGAGAAATTACACGGCACCGTGGTAGAGGGCCGTAAAATCGAGGTGCATGTCCCAAATATTTTCCTTTTCATCTTTTTTATAAATGTCTGCTTCACGCTCATTTGCTGTTTCAGATGCATCTTTCGTGTCTTGTATGTGACCCCGTTTCCTTCTCATTGTTTATATATATCTAAATTTATATATAAATAGGAGAACTGGCCTTACTTTTGGTTTTTCATTTGACGCGAGTTGGTGACTCTTCTTCACTGCTGGAAGGTGGTTGGCCAAAGTGAGGCAGGAGAGAGGTTGAGTTCCGGGCTCTTTGGATGCTCCGTGTGGTAGAATCCGGGGAGTAGAGGTTCCCAGAGCACAGAGAGCTAGTGATGTAGAGCCAAGTGGAAAGGACAGAGCAGTGCAGTTTTTTCTTCTTCTGTTTTGTTTTCCGTTTCTTTTTCTTTCCACGGCAGGGTTGATGAGGGATCCACAGTGGTGTACAGATCAAATCCAAGTGTCAAAGAAAGAACATTCCAAAGAACCAAAATGAAAAAGAAAAAGAAAAAGAAAAAGAGAGGTCCTTATGGGGTCTGCTCTTATTCCCCCCCGGCCCTGTTGGAATCTTTCTGTTATTTTGATAATAAAAGTGAATGGCCAAACAGGATTTCCTGTCCAATCTCTGGCCTCTCTTCCTGGAAAAAAAAATATTTATATATAGAAACCCAGGTACGAATTGCAAACGCTGAAGCTACTTTTCAACCACTGGGTCTCCCTCACCTGGCCACAGGGCCATCTTGGTTAAAAGTTAAACAAACAAAAAGCAAAAAAATACCAGTGACGATTGCTTTAGTCTTTGGAGTAAGATGTTGCATATTTTGCCTTTCATTTCCACCCCCTCCGACGATAACGCTTAGGCCCCTCACCAAACTCTCAGTAACCATGGTAACTGTACACAAACCATGCTGACGATGGTGGTGAATGGTAAGTGGTGGAATCCATCTGCCGTCTCACGTACTTTAGTGCTGATCTCTCTCTACATATCTCTCTACCACGTGACTTTTTTGACTTGTTGTATTAAGTTTTCTTGATGCTCTATTTTTTTGGATATTGGTACGCCTGTCACTTGAGTGTACGGTCCCAGCTAGCCTGGAGGCTTTGATTGGATTGAGACATGACCGGTGCACATCTTACTCAGAGTGTTGACTCCATACTGTGTGACACGATGCACCCTCCTCCTCCCCTTTTGTTAGCTGTGACTCTCAAGCTTGAATGGTTTTGTTAATTCCTGCCATGTTGAAGGCTCTTGTTCCGAGTGTTGAATGCTTAGTTGTTGCTTCCTGATGGCCCCTCCCCTTCTCCAGTGTTGCACACGGCTACAACTTGTTTGTCCCTTTGACATTGATGTCCCTTGTATTTCGTCTCCCCCTCTTCTTCTCCACTGCATGTCCCTTCATTTGAACCTTATTATTTTCTGTTAAAAAAAAAAACAAATTATCGTTTCTGTGTTACCATGGAGTACATGCATGCTTTTAAATCTTCAATTATGCGGTTCCTTTTAATTTGCTTTTACTGTCTTCCTTATTAAATTGTTCAATGATATGACATTGCTTTATTGAAATGATTTGGAAATTAAAAATGGTGATGAAGTAAATGTAATTATCAAAATGTATGATTTTTTTTTGTTATGCACCTACTGCCTTTTATAAATTAAAATGCATTTTAGTTGTTTTTTTTTTGTTTTAATAAGTAATCACAGCCATAATGCATGCCACTAATTGAACTTTGCACCCGCCCTGGAATACACACTCACTTGAATTTTCTATGTACGTAGGTAAATAATGCCACAGCACGTGTAATGACAAATAAGAAGACAGTCAACCCATATACAAACGGTAAGTGAGGACAGGACTTCTCGAAGACATGGTCCCAATCTCTGAATCTGTTGAGTCCTTTGCCTGGTAACCAGATTCCGGGAGCTCTCTGCTTCTGCTCACCTCTGTCCTCAGTGATGACTGCCTCCAGTGAACCCCCTGAGTCAATAAGACACTTCTCACACCACAGACGAATTGCACTTTCCCATGAAATGCCCTCACCCCTCTCTGCATCTCTCCCGAGAGGGATAGAACCACAGTCGCTCCTGGTAAATCACGAATGGTTTGATGTGTAAGGTGAAGGAGCAGGAGGCTTCTGTCACTGGACCCCACGCCTCTCCTTCCTGAGACTTTCATCACCAGTTAATCACTCCTGGAAGGCTCAGCCAGTTTGGGGCTCTGCCTTGGAGACTTGCCTGACAGGATGTGCCCTTTCTGAGGGCTTCTGCGGGGTGTCATAGTGGAGTGCAGGGGTGAGTGTGGGATAGAATGAGGCCTGGATTCCTCTCTGGCTCTCGTGGGTGGCAGGAGATGGTGTCCTGCCCCACAGGAGCCGTGAAAATGGGCCATCATTTCCCTCACCCCGCTCAAAGACTTCCAAAGGGGCTCAGGATAAAAAAGACACGCATAGAGGCAGAGGCATGAAGTGGGTTGAACCTTTGGATTCGTGAATCCTTCTCAAGATAGCTGAAAGCTGTCACTGTCAGTCCTCCCGTTGTTCATCGATTTGCTCGAGCGGGCCCAGTAACGTCTCCATTGGAGACTTTGTTGTTACTGTGTCTGGCATATCGAATACATCACAGGGAGCTTGCCAGGCTCTGCCGTGCGGGCGAGATACTCTCGGTAGCTTGCCGGGCTCTCCGAGAGGGGCGGAGGAATTGAACTCGGGTCGGCCATGTTGGCTGCGTGCAAGGCAAATGCCCTGCTGCTGTGCTATCGCTCCAGCTTTCTGAAGATAAAGCTCTCTTAAAATATGGGGCAGGGGCTGGAGTTGTAGTACAGCGGGTAGGGCATTTGCCTTGCACACGGTCAACCTGAGTTCTATCCCCAGCATTCTAATAGTCCCCCAAGCAATGCCAGGGGTGACTCCTGAAGTGCAGAGCCAGGAGAAACCCCTGTGCATCGCTGGGTCTGACCCAAAAAGGAAAAAATATATACAGGGCAGTGAGGGTAGGGAACTACTAATAGGGCAATCACTTGGCAATCATTGTGTCAAGACTGAGGAAAGCTCTTGGGGCTAGAGCGATAGTACAGTGGGCAAGGAGCTTGCCCTGCATAAGACCAACCCAGTCCAATCCCCGCCATCTCATATGGCCCCGTGAGTATCGGCGGGAGAAATGCCTGAGTGCAGAGCCAGGAGCCAGGAGGCCCCCAACAAAGAAATAAAAAGAAGGGTCAGGGCCAGAGAAATAGTACAGCAGGAAAGGCAAAGTCCTTGCCTGCCGACACCCTGAGGTTGATCTGTGGTGCCCATATGCGTCTCGAGCACTGCCGGGAGAGAGCCTCAGAGCATTGCTGGGTATGGGCCCCCAAACAGAAGTAAAACAAACAAGAAACTTGGAGGTCTGTAGAACAGTCCGGCCATTCCCCTAGGCAGGAAAGAGAACCTCATACTGAATGGAGGACTTTTAAGCATGATTTAGGAAAACAGTGCTAAGTGCTCTGCCAAAATGCCGATGCCTGGGCTGAACTGTGAGATGGGAGATAAATCCCTAGAAAGAGACTCTCCATACAGTCCTGAGGCCACTGGTGGTGGTATTGGAGCCTCTCTCTGGCTTGAGTCTCATTCTTATTTATTTATTTATTTATTTGCTTTTTGGGTCACACTGGGCGACGCACAGGGGTTCCTCCTGGCTCTGTATTCAGGAATCACTCCTGGCGGTGCTCAGGGGACCATATGGGATGCTGGGACTCAAACCCGGGTTGGCCGCATGCAAATCAAACACCCTACCCACTGTGCTATCATCACTCCAGCCCCTCAAGGCTCATTCTTGACCCCATTTTTTTCTTTTTTTTTTTAAATGGGTTTTCTGAAGTTAACATCATTTTATGCTCTCATCAGGGGAAACATACAGAACTTTTTTTTTTTTCCACTTAACATTTGAGATGGGAAAGTGCAAACGTATTAAAAATAAGAAAATGACATTAAGAAAAAGACAAAAATACATTCTGAAGCACAGTGCAGGCAACTTGGCTCGTCCCCACCCCCAGCTCCCCAGAAAGCCTGGAGGGGAGATGGCTGTGGGGCTCGCACTTTGCATGTTGGGGGCGTTGGTGCAAACAGATCCTCAACGGTGGCCCGTTGGCCCCTGTACAAACCTACAGTTCTGTGGGCATGAGACAGCTCAGCTATAAGTGGACCACCTCATTCATGCCCCCAACCCAGGCAGCAAAATGACCCTTAGTGAGAGACCCAGGAGGCAGGGTCACCCCCATATGGCAAAAGGGCCCCCTCGAGCCCCATCTCATTCACACCTCTCTTAGGGCCTGTGTCCAAGGACTGTTAAAGCAGCCGCCCTTTCTCCAGTGACCCACTAGCCTAGACCCCGGGCCGGGGACCACGTGGCCAGATCCAGACTGTGCTTGGCTGCAGTGTAACTAACCCGGATATTCCACACCACCCCAAGTCAAAAGTTGCATCAGTGTCCCAGGGGAGTTCCAGGCAGGAAACGAGGGGGAACCCGGTAGGACTGGGGGGACACGGGGAAGAACAAAAAGGAGGGAAGAGGGTCACGGTGAAAAGAAGCTTGAAGAGCACTGGGATGAAGAGCGCCGACAGATCCAGAGGATATGGGTTCCAGTCCCCAGTCCCCCCACCCCACCCCAGCTGGGCTCTGTGAGCTCATAGCCTTGCACCCGGGACTCAGAAAAATTCCCCCATCGGGACATCCCCCACCCCAGAGACCTCTGAGCTCCTTCTCTGAGGCTGGTGCATTCCCAGGCAGGATCCGCATTTCTGAGCAGAGAAAGGATATTCTGGGCTGCTCGGGCACCAGATGTTTTACCCACAACCCCCCTGGAGCTCTCTGTATGCCAAGGATAGGCAGAGAGTAGAGGAGGGTGGCCGGGTTCAGCCGGGGCTGGTCCAGGAAGGGCCAGAAGGCATGCCACAGCCACTGTGAGTGACAATGAGAAGCCCAGTCCGGGCCCTGCCGCCATGGCCGTGGACGCCTACACACAATGGGTCACTCCAGCCATAAGGGGAACTGTAGAGAGAGCTAGACCCATGACAGAGGGCTCTGGGGCTCCCCGGGGACATCAAGGGCAGGACACAGTGCCCTGGACTGTGGGTGGCCACTTGGTCTCCAGGATCAGTGAGTTCTTTGACACTGTCCAGAGGAAGCTGGATTCCTGAGTCACCTCTGAGTGTAAGGATGGGACAGTCAGATGCCCCAAGCCTGGCCAGAGGCAATGCCCGAAGGAAGAAAGGGGTGGGGCCACAGAGGGGAGCAGACCGGCTTTCTTCTTTCCTTGTTCTCCTCTCTGCTTCCCAGGCAGAACTGGGGGCGGGGGCAGGATGACACCTACACCTCCAGTGGCCAGTGGCAGGGATGGAACCCGGGGCCCTGTGCGTGACAGGCAGGTGCCCGTGATCTCTGTACCATCTTCCTCAGCCCTCTTGCACTGTCACGCTGTGTCACGCAAACTCTATTTCTGTACAAGAGAGAGAGAAAATGGCCTCAATTTGCCCTCAAACTTCCTTGCCCTGTGGCCTCGTAGCCGCCTGGACAGCAGGGAACAGAAGTGACAGTGAGTTATTGGAAAGAGCAAAGGGGCCCTCATTCGACTCCATTTGGGCTATCCAGGGGACCAACCGAGGCCCCTGTGTAATCTGGACCTTCCCAGGAATGTGCCTGGAAAACCCAAGGCCCTTGCTGGTCATGGGTGATGGGGACGCAAAGATTCTGCACAGACGCATATTGAGAGTCGTCTGGAACCCATCCGTGGGCTGTGGACTGTTCCCTCCTCTCTCTCTATTGTAGGACATCCTCTGGGTGCTGTGGCGAGCATTTCTGTGCATACCCCATCATGGGGCCTTTTGGGGCGCCCTCTTAAATGTGTTGCTCTGGCTAGGAGAAGCCCGGGAGGAGGAAGCAGCTCCCTGGAAGGCACCCCTGACTCCGTTCCTCTAAGGAGGCGCCCTGCTGCCCCAGAGAGGCGGCCCTGAGCACATGGTGGGGTGTTAGCAGCCCCACGGGGTGCGCGGAGTGAGCCCCCAGCAGGCCGATCCTTGCTCCATTGCCTGGCTGGACCCTCCCCCTTCCCCGGAGAGCCACAGCAGCGGGGGTTTTTATCAGCTCCCCTCCTTTTGTCGTAAGCCTCATTGTTCGGTTTAATGTCCTTGATCCAAATCTCGGGATTCGCGAGGCCTGGGGACGTCCACCAACTGCCAGAGAAATTAAAACTGGGCTCCTGGTGTCCGTCTTCCTGACAGTGTGGCCGCAGCCTCAGGCTGGGCCCTCCCCAGAGTCTCCTCCAGGTACTAGCCAGAGCCCCTGGGACCAGGGCTCGTTTGCATGTGATTTGCATGCATTTACATAAGCTTGCTCCCTACCTTTGAAGGGAGGTGATTTTCAAGGGCTTGATTCTTTTTTTTTTTGTCTTTTGCCTTTCCCAGCGTGACAGTCACCCCTCACAGGTGCTCCTTAGGAGATGGATCTCAGGAAGCAGGTCACAGGAGGGAGGCTGGGAGGACACAATCCCAGCCAAGAGGGAAGAAAGAGAGTCTTGGGCAAGAATTCTTTGTCTTGGGGTTGGAGTGATAGCACAGCGGGGAGAGCGTTTGCCATGCACGCAACTGACTCAGGTTTGATACCCAGCATCTCATATGGTCCCTCAAGCACCGCCAGAAGTAATTCCAGAGTACAGAGCCAGGAGTAACCCCAGTGCATCACCGGGTGTCATCCAAAAAGCAAAAAAAAAAAAAAAAAAAAAAAGAAAGAAAGAAAGAAAAAGAAAAGAATTCTTTGTCCTTATTGCTTCTCAACTTTCTAGCCACCGTTTCCAACCTCTTTTCTTTCCTTCGGGTCCCTGGGCTGCCTTTTGTCCTCGAGTCGCATGATGTTGCCCCCCCCCCCCACACACACACCCCGGGAATACCCTGGGGACTGTGCAGTCCTGGAATGAGAAAACCAGCTGGGGACATCATTCGTTAGCATTTCTGGAGCCCTGCCAAATGCCATCATCAACCCTGGGGATTCCCAGGGGATCCCAGCCCTGCTCCATCACTGTGCATTGCAATGCAGGAGAATGGCGACAAAAAGAAAAAAGACCAGGAATGAGGCGAGACAGAAAACAGAGCAAACCCAGGGCCCTCTGCTGCTGTGCAGACAAGGAAACTGGGGGATTCAGTCAGTGTAGACAAGACTGGTAAGACTGGGTGCTGGAAAGACCCGTGAGACCTGCAGCTCATCAGGTCTGCAGCCTTACCCAGGGCCCGGAGGCTGCTTGGAGCTGAGCCAGCAGAGCAGTCTCAGAGAATCCAGATGCTTCTCCAAGCATGATTTGGGTGGTTCTAGAATGAACTGGGTGGTTCTAGAAAGGGCCTAGAGACCAGAATCACCAACTTGCAGACAAGGGAACAGGATCTGGTACAAATGGCCATCCTGTTGTTGCCTGGAAGGCTGTCAATAGTCTTCTGCAAGGTGGAATGGCAAGTCCTCCTGAACAGGTGCTCTGAGAAAGTTCTAGACAGTTCTCAGGGATTCATGTCTGGGGCTCCTGAGGCAGCGGAGCAGCTGACTATGGTCATCACAGCCTTTCCAATAGGTTGGATGCTGAAGATGATGGGTGTACCAGACCCCGCCCTCTTGGACAGTCTTCTGAGTCTGGGTGCCTGGCCATCCCCACTCACCTCCCCGCTGTCTTTCCCAGTGGTCTTTGCGGGGGTCACTCGGCTGACCCCCAGATACTCGGTTTCCGATGAGCCCATTGGAGGTCTTCCTAGGCCCCCCAGAGCTGGTGTTTCCACACCTGAAGTGTGACAGATCATTACGGGGGGTTGGGGGGGTTCCCTGTCAGTCTGCCATGTGGGGAGAAGCTTCCTCTGCCACTCCTCACTTTTGGTCTTTGCTCGAGTCCAAGTTTCTGGAGGGAAAGGCCACCCTTCAGAAAGTGCTTCATCCAGGACATCCAGGAAGTGACAGAATTCTCTTCGCCTTGGGTCCGGGTTATCGGCAAAGTTACCTTAGAGACTGTGCATCAACTCGGAATTTTTATGGTTCCTGAATGCTCCGAAATCCATTCTCCACTCATTCTCCAGCGGATCGATGCCATTTTGGGGATGGGTGATTTGAAAGCATTCTGGATTCCCACAGAGTCTCTGGGCCATAATTAGGAATGACAATTACCAGAATTTGTTGCTGCTCAGAGTTCTGTGGATGTGAGCTTTCTGATTTGTGTGTGTGTGTGTGTGTGTGTGTGTGAGAGAGAGAGAGAGAGAGAGAGAGAGAGAGAGAGCTGAATGCTAAGGCATGTGTAATGGATTATACAGCAGTAGTCCATGAAAGAAGACAAAAAAATTATTGAAATCATTATAAAGGGTCTGGAAATATTGATATGGGAGGGAACCACGCCTCATTTTCAGAATCTCAAGCTGCTCAGCAGTTTCCATATGATTAACTTGTATTGGCAGAAAATCTAAGGAGAGCGTACATCTTTTTTCATCGGTATAGATTTCGAATATTTTGTATGCATGCCCAAACTGAATAGCTTCTCTATTTGTCTCTCTCTGCCCCTAAGTGACCCCAACCCATTTGATAGGCAGTCAATGTGCTAATGCAGTTCTTGTATATTTGTGTTTGCAGGCTGGAAATTGAATCCAGTGGTGGGTGCAGTCTACAGTCCTGAATTCTATGCAGGTAAAGAATTTCTCCCTGCATGGCGCCTTTGGGGTCTCCTGTACTTGTGCTTTGGCTGCTGGGCGCAAGAGAGGGCTTCCTACGCCAAATCAGAACCGAGCAGATCCCCATCCTAACAATCCTGGATGATTTTTTGAGGGCAAAACCGAAAAACCTCTGAAACTTTGAAATATAGAGAAGAATCCTGTCCCCTCAATGGTGAGGTTGGCCCGAGTCACTGCTCCTGAGGGCTAGTCCAAGCTGCTTTTGCCTTTCAAAAGCATCCAGACTTGGTAGATAGAAATGCATATTGAACCCAGAACATGGAGCACATCTGAATTCAATATGCCTGTGTACGTCTGATCATACATTCCCATCGGGGTTCGCACTATTATTTTATTTTCCCCAGGCAAAGCAGAGAGCTGGCCAACGAATGCCAGTTCCCTGACAGGGGGATCATTTAGAAAACTTAAAAAAAAAGATAGCAAACACCAAACCAAGTTATCTTGGTTGATTGCTGTGCTATGCTCCTCCCCATTTTGGCCCTCTCTGCTTTGCTTGACTTGAAGGAAGCGTCTCTGATACCCCCTCCTTCCTCGCCTCACTGTCTACCTCCAGGAGGTCGGGGGTTTTGCGTGGAGAGCAGGTGGGCTCCCGGGCGAGGTTAGCACAGAGGTCTGGCCTAGTTGGTCCCTCGCTTCTGGCCAAGGCTGCCCTTAGAGCATCTGAGACCACAGCACCTGGACCCCTAGGAGATGTGCCTCGTGGTATCAAAGTCTCTTGGTGTGATTTTGATGTGGGGAGGTCAGTGGCCCGAGAATCTAGCTTCGGTGCCCTTGTGGTGAGCTCCTGACGGTAAGTGTGTACCCAGCTGAGGTGCTATGGATGCTAATAGCCTGGGTCTTAGAGGGTAAGCAAAGGAGAGAAGGGCAAGTTAAGCCACCTGGTGCACAAGACACGATCAGTCTGGGATGTTCCTTCTGACAGTCTAGTCGGGGGACGGGGGTTTTCTCGGCAGCTCTGACAGTGGTTCTGCGCGTGTGAATTTCAGCAGCACCTGGCTTAAATCCAGGACCTTTGGCTTTGAAGGGGGCCATTAATTCTCAGGAAGGAGAGCCTTCACTGTAAGGCTTTCCATGACGAAGGGGTAGCACCTCCCTCCTCCTCCTAGAGGAGCAATCAGGACAGTAGACTCACCCCGCCCACGTGTCAGACCTGGCTCTCTTCCTCCACAGCGGTGTGACTCTAGGCAAGTGACTTAGCCTCTCTGTGCCTCCAGTGTCTTCATCTGTTAAATGGGAGATGATCGAAAGTAACAAGCTCACAGGTCTGGGAAGAATCAAATGGGTTCATACAGGAAGCGTGTTTGGGGCAGAGTCAGATCCGTAGCGTTGTTGGGTCCATGAAAACAAAAGGGTCTGCTGTAAAGGACTAGCTAAAGAGCTGACTGCATCGAACTGAGGGTCTCTTTTTTTTAATTTAATTAATTAATTAATTAATTAATTTTTCTTTTTGGGTCACACCCAGCAATGCCCAGGCGTTCCTCCTGGCTCTGCACTCTGGAATCCCTCCTGGCGGTGCTTGGGAGACCCTATGGGATGCTGGGAATTGAACCCTGGTCGGTCGCGTGCAAGGCGTGCAAGCCCTCCCCGCTGTGCTATGGCTCCAGCCCCTGAGGGTCTCTAGTCTAAAAGATTCCCCTGGTTTGTGAGGAAGCCAGCCTTCTCCCCTCAGCAGGCATAGGTCACTCCCCGACTCTCAGGGATGGGGGCAAGGTAGAGTGTTTAGAGAACCCGTGTGTTGTTCGGGTTTATGGAAACCCACGGCAAGAAGACCAGCTCCCCCAAAGTGGGGAGGAGGTCGCGCCTGTGGGGGGAACCCACGCAGGGCAAGGCTTAGTGTGGGAGCAGCACACCTGTGTCTTCATCTCTTCCGGAGCCACGGCCCACAAACAGGAAGTGAGTAGTCAGCAGGGAAAGAGGCAGGGAGCGAGCACTGTGGTCCGTGAAGAGGGCTGGGTAGCCTGGTGGGGGTCTGACAAGAACATGCTGGATGGTCGCTGTTGGCTCGGACCCTGGGAATCCTGAAACCTCCTCCTTCGCTTGTACTTCTCTATCCGCCGGCCGAGCTGTGGGCATCTAGGGGCTATAAAGGCCAAAGAAACCTTCCACACTGGTGGACGCATATAGGAAGCGGTGGATCTGTGTCACTGTTAGAACAGGAGATGAGTTAACTTAGCCGTACACCCAACCACTGAATTTAGATGTTTATAAAGTCTAAGTCAGACAAAGGTTATTTTATTTATTTGTTTGTTTTGGGGTAGCGGGGGGCTCTGTCTGAGAGTGTGTGGCTGACTCCTGACTCTAGCTCAGGGGTCACTCCTGGCGGTGCTGGTGGTGTGGGGGAGGGCTTCATGGGACACCAGGGATTTAAACCCAGGTCAGCCCCGTGCCAGGCAAGTGGCCCATCCCGCTGTACCCTCGGTTACTCCAGCCCCTAATGGGTTAACGTTTACTGCGTCCGCTCCGTGGTCAGGCGCTGTTGTTCTAAGCACTTTACCTAAATTAATGTATTCAATTCCTCAGGGCAATTTTCCAAATGAGAAAACTGCCAGTACAAAGAGTTTTGCATCTCAGGGTTGAGATTTCACAGTTGGTAAGAAGCCGGCTAGAATTTGAAATAGAGAGCCTGTGGTCTTTCGGGCCGGGTCGTGCCATGTTTTCTATTTTACAAATATTAAAAATCATCATTCTTATGGACTCTGTACCCTGTGTGATCACAGCACTGATTCCTGCTCTAGGTCAGAACCAAGGCAGTGAAAGAATTAGGCAGGCAGGCACTGTAGCACTGTCCTCCCGTTGTTCATTGATTTGCTCGAGCGGGTCCAGTAATGTCTCCATTGTGAGACTTGTTGTCATGGTTTTTGGCATATCAAATACGCCACGGGGAGCTTGCCAGGCTCTGCCGTGCGGGCCGGATACTCTCAGTAGCTTGGTAAAATAATCGTGCTAGGTGGTCAGTCGTTGTCTCAGAGAAGTTTAAGGAATCTGGACAAATGCTTCTAGGAGGTGCTGCAAAAAAAAATTTTTTTTTTAAATCTCAAGATAAATAACAGCGGGCATAGACATGTGCTTTTTAAAGCATCTGAACATTTGTGTTTTCCATTGGGATATTTGGGTGTTCTGGATTCGATATTTCAGTCTAGATGAAATCCTCTGGATTCTGAGTTTTCGAGATTATGGGGCAGGATGGTAGTAGGTTTGCCTTTTTAAAACAGCTGCTTTGAAATGTGTCGAGGTGTCAACAGAGAGGACCCCAGCTTAATTACTGATGTTTTCAGGCATAGGTAGATGATGAAATAAATTATATGCAAAGATATATCTAATGAAATCTCTTCCGTATCTAGCTAGAATTGCTAATGCCATTCTATTTAAATATCCCTGACTAAGAATGTAAGGGACATTTAAAATTTTTACTGCAACAACAGAAATACTGTGGATTTTTTTTTTCTTTTACATTTCAGTGTGTGGCTTTAAGCAAAATTGGAGCTGGCAGTGACTGATTTATCCTGGATATTTAGCAGGCTGGCTCTGTCTGAGCCTGAAGTAAAAAGCCTGACTTATTAGTCGCCACTATGTATAAAATCTTGTGTTAATGACAAGTGTAATATTCCCTCCGACTAATGACAGATTTTCTGAAGTTTCTCTCAGAGTTAATAATCCAGCCTCCAATTGTCCCTCAGAATGAGCCATGAAAAGTTCACATATTTTGTAAATTAAAATCAATAATTCCAATCTCTCCTAGAGGTAATTTTCCTAATTTAGTGGACTTTTCCTTCACATTTATTTTCCCTTTTAATTATAAAATGGCAGTTTATTGATTTTTGTCTATAACCTCTTGCCGCCCTGAGAACGTTTTTATTGCTAGAGCAGGCTGGGGGCTGGGGTACACAGACACCTTTTAATGAGGATCTTTAATTACTAGCTGAACAGTATTAATTTGCTTTGATAAACGATGACACGCCCGCTCCCTCACACACACGTTTAGGGGGCACATGTACTGAAAGCTTTGGGGGGTGGGGTTTTTTTTTGTACCCCCCATCGCATGGGACCAACCTGTAAGAATTCCTTCCTGGCCCTGTTGCTTTCTGTGTTCAAAGGCAGAGACATAAATCAGCCATGTCCTGCCGATGTAAATGAACGTTCCCCCAAGACAAGCGGCTGTTTTCCTGTAAAGCTAAACAGCATTGATTATTTTCCCTAAGTCTAATCATCTTCAGATTCCTCAAGGCTAATTCTCAAGCGTCATAATTGATAAGTCAATATTAAAAGGGAAAAAAAAAGAGAATATTCAGGTGGGTCTCCTGCACTTTAGTTGGTTATCTGTGGCCTTTCCAGTTTGGAGTTTAATTAAAATGGAAAGCCCCACGGAGAAGAATCCCTACAAATCTACTCCCAGACGTGGGTCGTAAGTCATTGCGTGTCATTAGCAAAGGGCTCAAAGGACCGGAGGGCGTGCTTTGCATGTGATAGTCCTGGGTTAGACCGTTGGCATCAGGGCGTCCCTGGAGCCCTGCTGGTGTGCTCCCCCCCTAAAACCAAACAACCAAAACAAAACCGAAAATGAAAAAGGAATGTTTTCTCTAAGAATCTTAAAGAGAACTTTCTCCCAAAGTGAAGTCTCAGAGGGGTCATCATTTAACCAACCAAACTGTTGATTGAACGCACCATTGAGGGACTGGAGCGATAGTACAGTGGGTAGGGCATTTGCTGCCTTAGACACAGCCAACTCGGGTTCGATTCCCAGCATCCCATAAGGTCCCCTGAGCACCACCAGGAGTAATTCCTGAGTGTAGAGCCAGGAGTAACCTCTGTGCATCGCCGGGTGTGACCCAAAAAGCAAAATAAAGAAAGCACCTTTGATTCTTCATAAAAAGTGAAAGCAAATAGGAAGGTTCTACGATGTTGTGGTTCTACGATGTTGTCACCACAAACGGCCGATTCACCTGTCCCCGATGCTGT